TCAACCTTGTTCAGGTGGCTGAATTGAAGGGGTCTGCAGGTATGCGTCTGTGGGCTGGAACTCCCAGATGTCTTCCTGTAATTCTTGGAGAATGATGGGATTTGGAGTTCAAAAGCCTCTAATGTTGCGCCCCTAGTGCATGCCATTGTTCAGGAAATCAGACTTAATATATTCTTATGTCTTCTTGAGTCAGATTTTTCAAGGAGTGTTCGAAAAAGACCTGTGCCCCCCAACCAGTCAACTTTTTATCCAGATCTTCAAAGTTGTTGTCGGTTTTTCTGGGCTCTTTGGCCATTTCTGAAGGTTGTTCTTCCTAACGTTTCACCAGTCTCTGTGGCCGGCATCTTTAGAGGACAGCAACCTGTGCTCTGCTGTCCTCTGAAGATGCCGGCCACAGAGACTGGTGAAACGTTAGGAAGAACAACCTTCAGAACACGGCCAAAGAACCCGAAAAACCCACAACAACCATTAGATCCCGGCCATGAAAGCCTTCGTGGATATATCTTCAAAATTACTTGTAATAGGGTGAAGGGTGTATCTAGAAACACTACCTGTCACCACCTGGATCAGAAGAAAGGCATTTTACTTGTAATAGGGTGAAGGGTGTATTTAGAAACACTATGTGTCACCACCTGGATCAGAAGAAAGGCATTTTGGTAGTGGAACTGATGAGTCTTGGCAAGCTCTCAGTCACATCCTGGATCTTCACACCCAAGAGATAAAAAACCTCTCAGAACATCCTGTCAGGTTCACAAGGAGCCCTGTGGTGCAGTTGTTAAACAGCAGTCAAGCCTCTAATCATGATCTGAGTTCAGTCCCAATGGGTTAAGATAGCCAGCTCAAAGTTGATTCAGCTTTCCACCCTTCCAAGGTCAGTTAAATGATTTGCAGTCAAGCCTCTAATCATGATCCGAGTTCAGTTCCAATGGGTCCAGATAGCCAGCTCAAAGTTGATTCAGCCTTCCACCCTTCCAAGGTCAGTTAAATGATTACCCAGCTTGGGTGGGCGGGTGTGTTTTGCATAATTATCTTATAAACCACCCAGAAAGTGCTCTAGTACTATGAGTAGAATAGAATAGAATTTATTGTCATTGTACTTTCATACAACAAAATTAGATGCCATCTCCAGCACACATAATAATAAAACACACAAGAACATTAGCATCGATAACATGAAAACATAGCACATTACACAAGAAATACATCCCTCTCATTCACATCCACATCCTTCACATTCAGTTTCCCATCGCACAACCCATTAATATCGCACTATACAGTGGAATTCGATATAGCTGCAGCTGTGGGATAGAAACTGTTTTTCAACCTATTTGTCTTAGTTTTAATTATCCTATATCGCTCACCAAATGGTAACAATTGAAAGACGGAATGGCCCGGGCATGATGGATCTTTGAGAATATTTTGGCCTTTTTTAAGACATCGGGAATTACAGAGATCTTCCAAAGAGGGAAGAGGGCAGCCAATGATCCTCTGGGCCATTGCAATAATCCTCTGGAGCGTTTTCCTATCTTCCATTGTACAGTTAGCGAACCATATACTGGAGCAATAGGTTAAAATACTCTCTATGATATAGCGGTAGAAGGTCACCAGCAGTTTTCCATTCAATTGTTGTCTCCTGAGAAGTCTCAGGTAATATAGTCTCTGCTGAGCCCTCTTGACCACTGCTGTAATATGAACGCCCTAGGACAAGTCCTCCTTGATGATAACACCCAGAAACTTAAAACTGGTTACGCGTTCTACTTGCTCTCCACTTATAACCAAGAGCTGAATATCTGATTTATTTCTTCCATAGTCTACTATAAGCTCCTTGGTCTTCTTGATGTTAAGGGTCAGGTTGTTATCTTCACACCATGAGAGCAGTCAATTCACCTCATCCTGATAGGCTAACTCATCACCTTCAGAAATAAGTCCTACCACTGTTGTATCATCTGCAAATTTGGTAATAATATTATTTTGGTGCATGGGTATGCAATCATATGTATAGAACAAGTAAGGGACTCAACACACATCCTTGTGGTGTTCCAGTATTAAGAATGAGCACTGAGGAGGTGTAATTCCCCAATCTAACCCTCTAGGAATGGCCAGATAGAAAATCCACAATCCAAGAACAAATTGAATGTGAAAATTCAAGCTCTCTGAGCTTGGACACCAATCTATAGGGAAGGATTGTATTAAATGCAGGACTGAAGTCCACAGAAAGCATCCTCACATAGGTCCCTCACTGTTCTAGGTGGGTCAAGGCAGTGTGGAGAATAATAGTGATGGCATCCTCCAAAGATTTGTTAGTTCTGTATGCAAATTTTATCCATTTTAGGTGAAAGACTAGAGATAATAGGCTTGCGTACCAACTTTTCAAAGCATTTCATTATGTTAGACGGAAGTGCCACTTGTCTATAATCGCTGAGGTTGTTAATAGGGTTCTTCTTTGGCAGTTGAACAATAATGGAGGCCTTCAAGCAGGGTGAAATAATAGACTATGATAAAGATCCGTTGAAGATCTTGGTGAAAACCCCTGCCAGCTGATCAGCACAATCTTTGAGCACAAGACCAGGAATGCCATTGGATCCTGTAGCTTTTCTAGGACCCACAGCCCTCAAAACATTCCTCAGAATGTTCTGGGAAGGTATATAAATCAAAATAATAACAACAAGCTTCAGCCTCAGTCCCCCTCGATTAAAAAAAATCACCTGGTATCTCTACATGTTTTGCTTTTGGAGAAATAGCACATATTCTTCCGTTTATACCCACTCCTTTGTTCCCTGCTTAAGTAGCTCATCATTCTTTCTTTAAAACGTTTATAGACCTCCTTAAATCACAGGATCTCAGGGTGGGTCACAGAGCCATGTAAGACAATTTAAAAAATGTAAAATCTTTACATCAATTTAAAATTAAAACAGCTTAAAACATATGATTCATTAAATCATTAAAGCCACTGCATTAAAATCTGCCCTGGTGAAGGTCTTCAACCTCCAAAGGCTCTAGTAAGCACATTTTGACTTGGCATCAGAATGATGCCAATGTCAGCCCCAATCAAGACTCCAAGGGGTGAGCATTCCACAGTTGGGGTGCTCCATCCGAGAAAGCCCTCCTTTGCATCACCCTATAATGTACAGGTAGGGAGGAGGTGGTGCTGCGGGCTAAACCGCAGAAGCCTGTGCTGCAGGGTCAGAAGACCAAGAAGTCGTAAGATCGAATCCATGCGACGGAGTGAGC